GTGTGGAAAAGCGCTCAGTTTCATTGTGAGGAAAGAAAGGCTGTCTTGAAATCTCTGATTGTAATCACAATCTGTAAAGCACAGAACCTTTGAACCCTGCATAATGATGTTCGGTGTTATACCGAGCTCTGTCATGCAGCTGAGAATGATGTACGAATCAAAACCACGCACGTTGTGTGCAATAAATGTGTAACCTGTGTACATAGGCCTTCGGAATTTTAACAGAAAGTCTCTCACGCAGTCCAGCCCGTATGAACACCAAACGGACCCTGACAAGGTCTTTGTCCACACCAGAAATGGGACATGTACCTTTTCTGAATTCAGAAAAGTTTCAAAATCATAAAATATTATTTTATGATGGAGATCATTATCACGTGAGGCGGTTTGAATGTAACACGCGTGATTACCGAGAATTACATCACATCCTGGATCCAGCTTTTCAGAGCAGATTGAGCATTTTCGAGAAGCGCATTTATGACTTTGGTCACGCCCTGCAGTTAACGGTACTCGGTAAATCAGATTACAATCCTGACAATGTTTGTAAAGCTGACATTGACTGACAAGTTTCTTAACCATTGGTCTTTCTATGGGAATTAAATGATTTTGAAAACAGGTAGCATTGCGACAGATTCTGCGACACTGCTGACAATTAAATGGTTCCAATTCACGCTGAACGCAGGAGGTGTGATTACACACCCCGCAGAAGCCTTGACACTGATGAGTGTGCTGATTTTCAAAAGATGTGAAGCAGAAATAGCAAAAGTTTCTCACACCTAGGAAACCTTTTATATTTTTCACCCCGTAAAAATGTTCATTCATTAAAAACAGGAAAACTGGTCTGCTGCGGTCTGAGAAGTCTGTTTCAAATTTAGTCAGCGCTGCGTCTGGGGAAGGTCTGTAAAAAAACAATTTTCCTTTCTATCAAATGTTCAAATTTAATTACATCTGATAACGACACAGGTGTTTGAACTGAGAACCCGAGCTGCGTCTGCCATTGTAAGGCGGTTTGTAAAGCCTGTGCGTCTGTGAACGTGGGGTTGCACACGTGGGCTAAGCTGAGGGAAAAGCAAATGTTATTTTCCTGATTTTGAATGAAATAAAGACGCTGTCTTTTCTTATGTAAAAGCTCGACATCCAGAGTTCTGCTTAGTTTACGTTTTGACCCACCTCTCTGGTTTCTGACAATTTGAACGGTAAATTCTAACGTTCCGTCTGCTTCAATTTCAGCATTTGATTGAATTAATTCATCGAGAAAATCAGTGAAATGTTCAGAAATTTCACTCTCATCTTCTCCCCCTAGAGCGAAAGCGATGTGATGCGCAGACCCGTGTCCTGACAGTTCCAGTTGAATAAAATCGCCCCGCTCTGTTAACGAAGCGGTTCTGTCAGCCAGTTCTGACAAAATGTTCATGACTTGGGTGTAAAAATCAGCCAAGTTTGGGGGATCATCAGACTGGGGTATGAAAAGTTGTCTCGTGATTTCATAATTATTAAATCTTTCGCGAGATATTTCATTTTGATCTGGACCGTTTGAAGGTTCTGGAGAGGAGGGGGGTGGGGAAGGAACATGTGAAGGTCTGGGGTTGGGAGAGGAGGAGGAGGAGGAGGGAGGTGAATGAGCGCTAACCCCCGCACCGTGCTGGATCGCGCTGCAGCTGCAAGGAGCCGGGTTTAACGAATCAGTCTCAGGAGAGGAGATTGGGTCTTGTTCTGGGGAGCGCGCGGTTCGTAACGCTAATAACGCATCATCTAAAATACTAAATAAATCAGAGTGCGTTGATTGCCATGCGTCGGGTGTGTTATTTTGAGAGTTTTCATCATCATCAACAGCTGCAGCAGCGACATCTGAAGCGGTGGTATTTCTAAGTTCAGATAATGAATTGTTTAAAGCATTAACAAGTAAACCAATTGGAGTATGATCTAAATTTGTACTGTGAATTTGAAATGAATCGAAACGGTCCTGATCAGACAGCTGCCGTGCAATTTCGTCATATAATGCTTGCATTAGAGGTTCCACATTTTCTGGTGAACCTGGAGGTGAATTCTGCTCGGTGCTGTTTAAAACATTTTGTAAAGATTGGCTTAGAACTGAAATATCATTAGATTCTGAGGTTGATGGAGAGTTCTGCTGAATAAGATTTTGCAAAGCCTGTTCTAACTCGTGAAAATAATTTATTTCATTATGAACTGTATTATTTGACAAATTAGACATTTTCAATCTATTTTATTGCTCAAACAATCTTTTGCAGAGTTCAGTTAATTGTAGGATGGTTTGCAGACAGTGAGTCCTCAATTCGGTGACGTCTGACGAATGATCTAAAAAATAAATAAATAAAAATAATAAATAAAATTTTCCTAATTTTTTAAAAAAAAGTGTGTGTCAGTGTTGAAAAAAATATATATACTCACTTCTTCTTCTTCTTGTCCTTGATGAGAGATAGCCGCGCGGGTCCGCTCTGCATCGGAACGCCCTTTCCAATCTGTTACTTCTGATGCAGAGTCTTGGATAGCCCTGATTGGGGTTCACACGGTTCCCCTCTGTCTGTGTGGCTGTCGGTTGGTTCGGCTCGTTGCGGTCTGGACTTGCTGCTGGGAGCGGTTCGGGTTGAACCGCTCGGTAAGCTGCTTTTTTATTTTTATAAAGAAAAAAATATAAAAACCATAATCAGTAAAATAATATACACAGATTAATTATATTTAATCTTACACACAACCCACCTGGATCTTGAGAACTCTGCAGATTCTGAATAGGACTCGTACCC